ACTCCGCCCAGGACGTAGCCGCGGGATAAAAGGGGGACATTCGCCATACCTCGGCAGAAGGAGCTCAGCTTGCATCCACTCACCTTGTAGCGAATAAAGCCAAAAGCCAAGGCCACTTTCATTATCCGCCTTAAGTCCATCTCTAGTGTCGCTTACATCTGATGGCAGCGGTGACCACGAGCCTCACAACGCCGATAGTCCGCCGACCGCTCTGCAGCGCTACGCTACCTGCCGTCTGTCGCCGATCACGCTTCTGTTTCGGGGTAAGTCCACTCTTGTGTATGGCCAGTTTCTTACCCCCCCGAACACCTACCTATAAGTTACCTGGTTCCCTTAAGACCTTCGTCCTTTTCACATTCTCTCTGTAATCAAAATCTCCGACTGATAATTCTTTGTTGCCTTGAACCTTACACTCAGATCTCCGCTGTTATCTGCATATGTCCAATCACACAGCACGACCTTTCACACGCAGCCGAGCACAGTCTATCTTGGAAATAGATGCAGCTATAGTTGGTGTAGAAAAGACATTTTCTACAAACAAACAAGTAAATGACACCGCACATTTCACCAGCGATTCTCCTTTACATAACGTTACACACCCTCCTCCCCCCCCTTCCCCTACATCCCCTCGTCCCCGTGCACTCTCCACAATGCCTTCAGACCCCCCCACAACCACTAACCCAACCTTCCTCCAGCCCTATTCTGTTGTTACCAAGTTTGACGGCAGCTTGAAGCTAGACATAGATTCCCTGATCAAGGAAATTGAGGAATTCATAGTATCAGCGGGGACACCGAGATCAGACAACGGGTTCGATAAGAAATGTTTAAATGCTGTTCATTCCCGTCTTGACCTTACCTCACCAAAGGTTAGGGAAGCGTTTCATGCTTTTGACAAACAACCTAACCCCTCGTGGGAATTGTTTAAGCAAGAATTTGGCATTCTATTCAGACCCTCTCAGGTTGATCATGTACTTCAGCTCGCCAGGATTTTTAGCTTACGGCCGCAGTCATTTTCTTACGCTGACCTCCGCGCTCATTGTAATCGCGTCAGACTTGCAGTAAATAAGTGGATTTCGGCCATCCCAGATAACTCCCTTTCAAACATCAAAGGAGCATTTCGTGATACCGCATCCCACAATGAATATATGCTTTACTTCACTTCGGCAGTATTTGCATCATCACTCACCCCATTGTGCCAGGAGAAAGTTTGGCGTGAAATCGGAAAGATCGATAATGTTGTTGAACTGCCGGACATTTTTTCTAAGGCAGTTAAAGAAGTTGCTGGCAATGATGTGCAGGTAACCAATGCTTTATCTGCGAAACCAACCTCCCCTCCCCAACCCCAACCCTCCACTGAACTCGTTCGTGTGCCAACACGCCAAACCATTCCGCCCCTAATGTCCTTACCTGCCCGCCCTAACCCCCGCTCTAGTTATTACCCCCGCATGCCAGGACGTTATACCCCGAACTCACCCTATCAGAACACCCCAATCCCGCGTCCTCTCTTTAGACCCCCTGCTGTTACCAATTGGATCCCTGAAAAGTCGGTCTGCCACAAATGCTTACATCATGGCCATTTTTCTCGCGACTGCCGGAACATTCCGGTATGCCCATTCCACAACATTTATGGACACCCATGGTATCAATGCAAAGTCTATACAGAGCAGAGTGCTATAACACAGGATTTATTAACAAAAGCTAGACGTGGAAGTAGCCCCCACAAAACACAAAAGTCGTGCTATTTTTTAGAGGAACTTCTCGAAGACCTCCAAGATACTCCCCCAGCAGACCCTTCCCCAGATGCGGAAATCTTGCAAAGCCCATGGGACTCAGTACTCAATTAATAGCCTCTGCTACTGCTAGCCATTGCAATAGCCCCCCTCTGCTTCCTGCACGCCTCAATGGTAAACCAGCAATGTTCTTCTTAGATAGTGGTTCGTCTGTCAGTCTGGTGTCCGCTTCAACTTTGTCAAGGTTTGGGTTAGATCTCAAGATCCAACCTCCTCGCTGGTCTGTACGGGGTGCTTCTGGTAACAGTCTGAGGGTAATAGGAGAAACCAGGCTGAACATTAAGTTGGATGGGATTTTGTTTCTCCATCCATTTATTGTTACTGAGTCCCATACTGTCCCTGGTGATCTCCTCCTGGGCCATGAATTCCTCTGGCGTACAGGTATTGCTCATGACCCTAGGAATAACAGAATTAAGTTTAATGGTAAGTTTTTCTCCCTCGTTAAGCCCTCCTCCATGTGGACTCATCGCAACAGTTATGATGCACTCATGCCCCCCCGTAAGTACCACAACAAAGACTCAATTTCTGGCCATATAACTGGGAAAGAGATTCCCCTCAACAAACAAACAAATAACCCCAAACCCCCTGACCTCCCCAAGCATCGTCCCAGACTCAGGTGCCAGAGAAGTCCTGCTTCTGTGCCAAGTAAGCCTCCCACCTCTCAGGCCTTGGACCAAGATACTCCCGCTGCCCCTCCCCATAATATTCCCCCTTGTCCTACCCCAGCTACTGCTACACATTTTGGACCCTTTTCATGGACTATGGGCGACAGTGCATTACACTTTCGTGTAAAGGAAATTACCACCATTCCTCCATTCTCCGACATGCCTGTCAACGTTGTAACACATGTAAACGAGGGTGCATGCCTGGTCTTGCCAGAAGGATCTCGTGTTAAGGGAATTGCCATCTTGCCAGCACTTTATTCCATATCTAAAGGGGAGTCATTCCTCCACCTGATTAACTTAACCCCTACCCCCATCCGACTTCACAATAACACCCGGGTAGTTGATTATGAACTAGCTAAAGGTGAAGTCATGGAACTACCACCGCCTGCCTTCACTGCAACCACTCAAACTCAGCCCACTCTGGGCGAGCCACCTCCCTCCTCTCATGAAACACTCTCGACTATTCCCTCTCCAGATTTTGATGAGGGTTATGAGATCTTATCTCGCCTCTTCCGGGAATATCCCTCCCTATTGCCTTCTGAGTCTCGACCCCTTGGCAAGACTGATATCCTTCAACATAAGATTAACCTGGTTCCCAATGCTCAGCCTGTCTATATTCCAAGTTATCGCATCCCTCATAGCCGCCGCTCTGCTCTTGACAAGGCTACCGCTGACTTACTCGATCAAGGTATAATAACCCCAAGTACCTCACCCTGGTCCGCTCCAATGTTACTGGTACCCAAGAAAGATGGAACAATGAGACCAGTTATTGACTACAGACGACTAAACAAGTTAACTATTCCTGAACCATTTCCCATTCCCTCCCTTCGACTGTTATTACAAGACATTGGTACTAACAACAAAGTCTTCTCGACTCTCGACTTAGCTAAGGGATTTCATCAGTTACCCATGCACCCTGATTCCCAAAAGTTTACTGCTTTCTCCACCCCTTCTGGACACTGGGAATTCACAAGAATGCCTTTTGGCCTAAGAAACGCCCCATTGAGTTTTGCACGATTAATGTCCCTTGTCATGAGTGGTCTTGTTGGAAATGACGTACTCATTTATCTGGACGACCTATTGGTGGTGTCAAAGGATGTTGCCGAGCACGAAGTAAAACTCCGGAAGATTTTAGTAGACTATGTGAAGCTGGATTGACCATTAACCCTCAGAAGTGCCGTTTTTTCGCCTCTTCCCTTGAATTTCTGGGTCATACCGTAACTTCAGCAGGAATCTCCCCTAATGATGATAAGGTAAAGAGCATAAGTAACTTCCCTGTCCCTAAGGATCAACACCAGATTAAGAGCTTCTTAGGTTTAGCAGGGTTTTACAGACCCTTCATACCCCATTTTGGCTCCATTGCAAGCCCTCTTTCCCGGCTACTTAAAAAAGACTCCGAATTTGTTTGGGGCAAGGATCAGGACTTTGCATTTCAATCCCTGAAATCTAAGTTAATTAAGTCGCCAGTATTAGCATTCCCAGATTTTTCCAAGCCCTTCATATTAGCAACTGACGCCTCTAATGTTGGCATTGGCTCTGCACTCATGCAAGAATTCGAGGGAAAGCTAAAGCCCATTGGTTTTGCAAGTCGAATCTTAAATATTGCCGAGAAGCGTTATTCGACATCTGACAAGGAATTGCTAAGCATTATATGGTCACTCAAACATTTTCGAGAATTAATTCTAGGCTATGATATAGAAGTAAGAACGGACCATCAGCCACTGACCCATATCATGTCTTGCAAGGACCCTCATGGTAGATTGGCCAGGTATTTGGATACCTTACTAGAGTTCAACCCCTCGATTGTGTATACCCCTGGCCCTTGTAATAAGGTTGCAGATGCCTTATCTCGAGCACCTGTGTACTCCCTGTTCTCTGATAACTGCCCACCCCTGGATGCTCTAGATATCAATGACATAAAGAAAAGCAGAGAAGTGACAGCTTGTATAAGGACATCATCAAAAGCCTAGAAGCTAACCCCAGTACCCCTTTACCCCCAAGAGCCCATCTTCCGGTTAAGGATTTTTACCTGGACGAGTCTGGCCTTCTCTTTAGATTGTCGACGCCCAGGAGGAAAGGAAGGAAGACAAAGATTCGTTATAGACAGTTAGTATTCCCTGAGTGCCTTGTCCCCCTCATTCTTAAGTATTCCCATGAGTCATTGGAGGCAGCTCACGCTGGGGCTGCCAAAGCCATTCAGCGTGCTAGATCAAGATTCTATTTTCCCGGGTTGTTCAAGAGAGTTTTGCGACATGTTAAGAGTTGTCGTGTCTGCCCATTATACAAGGGCTCAACCCATCAGCCTGCTCCTGCATTATTGTATGATATCCCTGACTTCCCCTTCCAGAAGGTATCTTGCGATACCCTTTCAGGATTTATACCATCCCCCAGGGGCAACAAATACATTCTAGTTTTCATTGATAACTTCAGCAGATACTGTGAGCTTGTTCCTGTACCGGACAAGTCAGCTCACACCATTGCTAGAGCCTTCTATAACAATATTATATGCAGATACCAATCCCCCCAGCAGCTCAGCAGCGATAATGGAACAGAATTTCTGTAATAAGATCCTCTCACAGTTATGCAGCTTAATGAATGTCAAGAAAGTTAATATCCTCCCATACCGACCTCAGGCCAATGGTATTACAGAGAGACTGAATAAGACCATCTTAAACTTAATGAGAACTATGATACTGACCATGATGATGACTGGGACCTCTACTTACCCATTGTACAATCAGCTATTAACTGCAATTATCATTCTTCACTCGGTGACATCCCTCATTTCCTGCTATTCGGTACGGACAAAAGACTCCCTTACGAGCTCTTGGATGCAAAGCCAGACCCCAACTATGATGACAACTATGCCAAGACACTACTTATCAGACAACAGAAAGCCTTTATGTTAGCCAAGGAAAAGTTGACTTTATCCAGGGATAGGATAATTGCAAACCAACAATAGATAGCAAGGATTAAGACAATTGCACTAGTCTTTAGGAGCATTAAGTCCACAAACTCTCCTTTGCCCAAGTTAGCCCCTATCTTCGATGGGCCCTACAGGGTACTACAGTGTCGCAATAACAAGGCACTTTGCAGGAGTTTAAAGGATGAGTCACAGACATGGCTCCACTTTGACCAGCTGAAGCTTGCTAATAAGTACTTTGTAGAGCAGTTCCCTGATTGCAGTGCCTCACCCTGACTCCAGGTCCTCTATGCTTGCAGATGAGTCCCGTCCTCTTCCTGTCCCTTCTCGCTGTTAGTGGCGCCCATCTCCCCGCGAATCTACGGAGCGTCCCTGGCGCCATTATAGAGGACCTTGGTGTAACCTACCCTGTCACTAATCATGTAGAGATCACTGTAGTACTCACCCCTTTATTAGAGTCTCCTTCACTTGCCACATTTCACCATGCCAAGCTCAAAGAGCTAAGATCATATATATATCATGATAAGATTTTTGAATGGTACACAGAGAGAGCTTCTCACTCACATCCTGAATGCCACAATAGATGACTTGAGTAAATTTACTACCAACAACCATTCACGCTCTCGCCGTGGTCTTATCAATGCAATTGGAAATATTGCGCACGCATTTTTTGGTGTCATTGACGAAGACACCCTTAACAGCCGTCTTGCTGATTATAAGTCATCCCTACATAACGTCATTGCAAGATTTGACTCTTCGGTTCATGCTTAGATTACATTAGTAGAACGTTAAATCACTTTTCCACCTTATGCTCCAGTATTGAGGAGCAGTTACATACCTTATCTATGGATATCACTAACGTGCAACGATTCACCCACTTCGGTATTAGCGTATTTTCTTATCAGTTAGCTATACGTAATTTCATGAGTGATGTAGAGCGTTTCAGTACAGACCTAATAATGGCTGTCCCGTGGCGAGGTCCTTCCAGGATTAATATCCCCACATGATATGCATAACTTCATAACCAGGGTCACCTCTATGTCTTACAGACCTTTTAACCTTGGAGCCACAACACTCTTCTACACCACCTACGTTCTTACCTGACACCGTGGCCTGTCGTCTTATACCTCCTACCCTTAAAAACATTCAAAACATTACCGTATACACCCCTTTCCTCACATTGCTAACAGTAACACATGTATCCTCTCTTCTGCCCCATATCATCCTTAAGCCCTACAAGGTCAGTCCCTATCCATTCCATCCCCTGACTTCCTTGAGGGTGTCTAAGGCCATCCACCCCATCGTTTCATATGCACACACAAGCCCTACCACAGACAATTATGAAAACATGCCATCTTGTTTCACGGGCCCTCATGGTTCAGCATAACATACATCCAGTGCACTTTTGACGAGATTCCCCTTTCACCATATCCCTTTGTCCTGTCCTTACCTGATGTGTCAATCATACACTTCTGCAGTTAAACAGCAACTCTTAAATGCCATGATGCAACCCACATGGACACATTTATTACAGGCACATTTTTACTACCCCACCACTTGCCAACTCACTACTTCTTCCAATTACCATACCAGGCAACAAGCGTTCTTACTCCTATCTTCCAGACTAAGTGCGCCGAAAGTGAACACCCCTTTTGTACCATACAACATTTAAGTAACATACCAAGATCAAGCCTTCGATTACTCCCACAAACCTGATGACCATACCTATGCTCTCTTCCTTGATTCACATCACATACATTTGGCTAGCCTGTCTACATCACCCTTCTTGGCATCCTCATGGTCTTCCTTTCCTTCTATATCTATTCGTAAGGTCACCATTCGTCGCCTCGGCGAACGGATAGAACAAGGTAACAACTAACCACCCCCTTCACACCACTGAGAGACTGGTCATGCACAGGTTTGGCTTCGTCAACTGGTGCGCATGGCACAGACAGTGGCACTTGACGGCGTCGTACTACTCGGACCAGGTCAGTCGACCTTCGTGGCAACCTTTGCATTCTGCCTCACAGCATCTGTCAGGCACTGAGGGACATGCCACATTTACAGCGGCCGCTGGACCCGCCACAGTAATTCTTCTGCCATTTCACGTTTACAGATGTTGCAGACGGCTCGAGGAACGAGCCTTGTTTACTGGGCCGAGCGATATAAACAACATCGGGGTGGGTGCTCCACACATCTGTCCCTGGCTGAACAAAGGCTGCGCCTTCCCGTCGCCGACTCCTGAGTCCACCTTATCACAGGAAGCAGCCACTTCGCACCTTCCACTCCTGACCCTGGTTTACCCAAGGAACTCCTAGGTGACCTACATGTCCCCCTCGGCAAGCCCAGCGACTCACCCCCCCTGTCACGGTCTGATAACCTGACACTCCAGCCGCGGAAGCAAACTCCGCCCAGGACGGTAGCCGCGGGTAAAAAGGGGGACATTCGCCATACCTCGGCAGAAGGAGCCAGCTTGCATCCACTCACCTTGGTAGCGAATAAAGCCAAAAGCCAAGGCCATTCATTATCCGCCTTAAGTCCATCTCTAGTGTCGCTACATCTGATGGCAGCGGGACCACGAGACTCACAACGCCGATAGTCCGCCGACCTCCTCTGCAGCGCTACGCACTGCCGGCGTCGCCGATCACGCTTCTGTTTCGGGGGGCAAGTACACTCTTGTGTATGGCCAGTTTCTTACCCCCCCGAACACCTACCTATAAGGTACCTGGTTCCTTAAGACCTCTTCGCCCTTTTCACCATTCTCTCTGTAATCAAAATCTCCGATGATAATCTTTGTTGCCTTGAACCTTACACTCAGATCTCCGATGTTCTGCATATGTCCAATCACACAGCCGGGACCTTTCACACGCAGCGAGCACAGTCTATCTTGGATAATAGATGCAGCTATAGTTGTTGTAGAAAAAGACATTTTCTACAAAACAACAAGTAAATGACACCGCACATTTCACCAGCGATTCTCCTTTAACATGTTTACACAACCCTCCTCCCCCCCCTTCCCCTACATCCTCTCGTCCCCGTGCACTCTCCACATTCCTTCAGACTCCCCCCACAACCACTAACCCCGAACCGTCCTCCATCCCTATTCTGTTGTTACCCAAGTTGTGTGTGTTACGGCCTCTTGAGCTAGACATAATTCCCTGATCAAGGAAAATTGGAGAAATTCATATTAGTATCAGCGGACACCGAGATCAGACAACGTGGTTCGCTAAGAATGTTTAATCTGTTCTATCCCGTCTTGTGAACCTTACCTCCCCAAAGGTTAGGAGCGTTTCATGCTTTTGACAAACAACCTTAACCCCTCGGTGGGAATGTTATTGTAAAGCAAAGAATTTGGCATTTATTCAGACCCTCTCAGGTGACATGTACTTCAGCTCGCCAGGATTTTTAGCTTACGGCCGCAGTCATGTCTTACGCTGACCTCCGCGCTCATTGTAATCGCGTCGACTTGCAGTAAATAAGTGGATTTCGGCCATCCAGATAAACTCCCTTTCAAACATCAAAGGAGATTCGTGATATACCGCATCCACAATGAATATATGCTTTACTCACTTCGGCAGTATTTGCATTCATCACTCACCCCATTGTGCCAGGAGAAAGTTTGGCGTGAAAGGAAAGATCGATAATGTTGTGAAACTGCCGGACATTTTTTCTAAGGCAGTAAAGAAGTTGCTGGCAAGGATGATGCAGGCAAACCAATGCTTATCTGCCGGAACCCAACCTCCCTCGCCCAACCCCAACCCTCCACTGAACTCGTTCGTCGTTGTGCCAAACACGCCAAACCATTCCGCCCCCTAATGTCCTTACCTGCCCGCCCTAACCCCCGCTCTAGTTATTACCCCCCATGCCAGGACGTTATACCCCGAACTCACCCTATCAGAACACCCAATCCGCGTCCTCTCTTTACGACCCCCTGCTGTTACCAATTGGCAATCCCTGAAAAAAGTCGCGTCTGCACAAATGCTTACATCATGGCCATTTTTCTCGCGACTGCCGGAACAGTCGGCGAGGCCCATTCCACAACATTTATGGAACCCATGGTATCAATGCACAAGTCTATACAGAGCAGAGTGCTATACCACAGGATTATTAACAAAAGCTAGACGGGAAGTCAGCCCCCACAAAACACAAAAGTCGTGCTATTTTTTAGAGGAACTTCTCGAAGAACCTCCAAGATACTCCCCCAGCAGACCCTTCCCCAGAGCGGAAATCTGTGCAAAGACCATGGGAACTCAGTACTCAATTAATAGCCTCTGGCTACTGCTCGCCATTCTGCAATCGCCCACCTCTGCTTCTGCCACGCTCAAGGTAAACCAGCAATGTCTTCTTAGATAGTGGTTAGTCTGTCAGTCTGGTGTCCGCTTCAACTTTTCAAGGTTTGGTTAGTCTCAAGATCCAACCTCCTCGGGTCTGTACGGGGTGCTTCTTGGGTAAACAGTCTGAGGGTAATAGGAGAACCAGGTGAACATTAAGTTGGATGGGATTTGTTTTCTCCATCCATTATGTTGCAACTGAGTCCCATACTGTCCCTGGTGATCTCATCCTGGGCCATGAATTCCTCTGGCGGAAGGTATTGCTCATGACCCTAGGAATAACCGAATTAAGTTTATGTAAGTTTCTCCCATCGTTAAGCCCTCACCATGTGGGACTCATCGCAACAGTATGATGCACTCTGCCCCCATGTAAGTACCACAACAAAGACTCAATTTCTGGCCATATAACTGGGAAAGAGATTCCCCTCAACAACAAACAAAAAACCAAACCCCTGACCTCCCCACGCATGTCCCAGACTCAGGTGCCAGAGAAGTCCTGCTTCTGCCAAGTAAGCCTCCCACCCTTCAGGCTTGGACAAGATGACTCCCGCTGCCCTCCCCCCATAATATTCCCCGTCCTACCCCAGCTACTGCTACACATTTTGGACCCTTTTCAGGACTATGGCGACAGTGCATTACACTTTCGTGTGTAAAGGAAATTACACCATTCCTCCATTCTCCGACATGCTGTCAACGTTGTAACACAGTAAACGAGGGGCATGCCTCGGTCTTGCCAGAAGGATCTGTGTTAAGGGAATTGCCATCTTGCAGCACTTTATTCCATATTAAAGGGGAGTCATTCCTCCACCTGATAACTTAAACCATACCCCCCCCCCCCCCCCCCCCCACCATCATCGATTCAAATAACACCCGGGTAGTTGATTATGAATAGCTAAAGGTGAAGTCATGGAACTACCACCGCTGCCTCACTGCAACCACTCAAACTCAGCCCACTCTGGGCGAGCCACTCCTCATCTCATGAAACACTCTCGGACTATTCCTCCCAGATTTTGATGAGGGTTTGAGATCTATATCGCCTCTTCCGGGAATATCCCTCCCTATTGCATCTGAGTCTCGACCCCTGCAAGGACTGATATCCTTCACATAAGATAACTGGTTCACAAGCTCAGCTGGTTATATTCCAAAGTATCGCATTCCATCATAGCCGCCGCTCTGCTCTTGAAAAGGCTACGCTGACTTACTCGATCAAGGTATAATACCCCAAGTACCTCACTGGTCCGCTCCAATGTATGGTACCCAAGAAAGTGAACCAATGAGACCAGTTATTGATACAGACTAACTAAACACAGTTAACTATTCCGAACCATTCCCATTCCCTCCCTTCGACTGTTATTACAAGACATTGGTACTAACAACAAAGTCTTCTCGACTCTCGACTTAGCTAAGGATTTCATCAGTTACCCATGCACCCTGATTCCCAAAAGTTTACTGCTTTCTCCACCCCTTCTGGGACCTGGGAAATTCACAAGAATGCCTTTGGCTAAGAAAACGCCCCATTGAGTTTTGCACGATTAATGTCCCTTGTCATGAGTGGTCTTGTTGGAAATGGATACTTCATTTATCTGGACGACCTATTGGGGTGTCAAAGGATGTTGCCGAGACGAAGTAAAACTCCGGAAGATTTTTAGTAGACTATGTGAAGCGGACTTGCCATTAACCCTCAGAAGTGCCGTTTTTAGCCTCTTCCTTGAATTTCTGGGTCATACCGTAACTTCAGCAGGAATCTCCATCCCCCAATGATGATAGTAAAGCGCATAAGTAACTTCCTGTCCTAAGGATCAACACCAGATTAAGAGCTTCTTAGGTTAGCAGGGTGTTACAGACCCTTCATACCCCATTTTGGCCTCCATTGCAAGCCCCTTCTTTTCCCGGACTACTTAAAAAAGATCCGAATTTGTTTGGGGAAAGGATCAGGACTTTGCATTTCAATCCCTGAAATCTAAGTAAGTAAGTCGCCAGGTATTAGCATTCCCAGATTTTTCCAAGCCTTCATATTAGCAAATGAGGCTCTAATGTTGCATTGGCTCTGCACTCATGCAAGAATTCGAGGGAAAGCTAAAGCCCATGGTTTGCAAGTCTTCGAATCTTAAATATTGCCGAGAAGCGTTATTCGAATCTGACAAGGATTGTAAGCATTATATGGTCACTCAAACCATTTTCGAGAATTAATCTAGGCTATGATATAGAAGAAGAACGGACCACAGCCACTGACCATATAATGTCTTGCAAGGACCCCCATGGAGATGCAGGTATTTGGAAGACCTTACTAGAGTTCAACCCCTCGATTGGGTATACCCTTGGCCCGTGTAATAAGGTGGCAGCTGCCTATCTCGAGCACTGTGTACTCCCTGTTCTCTGATAACGGCCCACCCCGTGGATGCTTAGATATCAATGAATAAAGAAAAGCAGAGAAGTGAACAGCTTGTATAAGGACATCATCAAAAGACTAGAAGCTAACCCCAGTACCCCTTTACCCCCAAGAGCCCATCTTCCGGTTAAGGATTTTTACTGGACGAGTCTGGCCTTCTTCTAGATTGTCGACGCCCAGAGGAAAGGAAGGAAGACAAAGTCTCGTTTAATAGACAGTAGTATTCCTGAGTGCCTTGTCCCCCTCCTCTTAAGTATTCCATGCGTCATTGGAGGCAGCTCACGCTGGGGGCATGCCAAAGCCATCAGCGTGCTAGATCAAGATCTATTTACCGGGGGTTCAAGAGAGTTTTGCGACATGTTAAGAGTTGTGTGTTCTGCCCATTATACAAGGCTCAACCCATCAGCCTGCTCCTGCCTTATTGTATGATATCCCTGACTCCCCTTCCAGAGGTATCTTGCAGATACCCTTTACAGGATTTATACCATCCCCCAGGGCAAACAAATACATTCTAGTTTCATGATAACTTCAGCAGATACGTGAGCTTGTTCCTGTACCGGACAAGTCAGCTCACACCATTGCTAGAGCCTTCGTAAACAATATTATATGAAGATACAATCCCAGCAGCCTCAAGCATCGATAATGGAACGAATTCTGTAATAAGATCCTTTCACAGTATGCAGCTTAATGAATGTCAAGAAATTAATCTCCTCCCATACCCGAACCTCAGGCCAATTGTATTACAGAGAGACTGGAATAAGACCATCTTAAACTTAATGAGAACTATGATTACTGACCATGATGAATGCTGGCGACCTCTACTTACCCATTGTACAATCAGCTATTAACTGCAATATCATCGTCCACTCGGTTGACATCCTCATTCCTGCTATTCGGTCGGACAAAAGGACTCCTTACGAGCTCTTGGATGCAAGCCAGACCCCAACTATGATGACAACTATTGCCAAGACACTATTATCAGACAACAGAAAGCTTTATGTTAGCCAAGGAAAAGTTGACTTTATCCAGGAAAATAATGCAAACCAACATAAGATAGAAGGATTAAGCAATTGAAGTCGGTTGCACTAGTCTTTAGGAGCATAAAATCCACAAATCTCCTTATGCCCAAATTACCCTATCCTTCGATGGGCCCTTACAGGAGTACTACAGTGTCGCAATAACAAGGGCACTTGCAGGAGTTTAAAGGATGAGTTCACAGACATGGCTCCACTTGACCAGCTGACGTTGCTAATAAGTACTTTGTAGAGCGTTCCCTGATTGCAGTGCCTCACCCTGACTCCAGGTCTCTATGCTTGCATATGAGTCCCGTCCTCTTCCTGTCCCTTCTCGCTGTTAGTGGCGCCCATCTCCCCGCGAATCTACGGAGCGTCCCTGGCGCCATATTAGAGGAACCTTGGTTAACCTAACCTGTCAAATCATGTAGAGATCACTGTTAGTACTCACCCCTTTATTAGAGTTCTCTTCACTTGACACATTTCACCATGCCAAGCTCAAAGAGCTAAGATCATATATATATAATGATAAAGATTTTGACTGGTACACAGAGAGAGCTTCTCCACTCACATCCTGAAGGCCACATAGATGACTTGAGTAAATTTACTACCAACAAACCATTCACGCTCTCGCCGTTGTCTTATCAATGCAATGGAAATATTGCGCACGCACATTTTTTGGTGTCATTGACGCAGACACCCTTAACAGCCGTCTTCTGCTGATTATAAGTACCCTACATACGTCATTGCAAGAATTTGACTCTTCGGTTCAGTGCATTAGATTTACATTAGTAAGAACGTAATCCTTTACAC